TGGATTGGCATGCGGAATGCCTGGGGTGACTTGTCCGTACAGATAATGTTGCAAATAGCTTTCACTGTATGCATGTTCACGCGCATATCGGAGACAATAGCCAATTAACACGCAACGAATTGCACAACCTTCTCGTTATGCTTGCACGTGACAACCGTTATCCGGGTTATTGGTACTGTGCATGTCGTACTTGCCTGTGCCTGGTGTCGTCTTGAAGCGCCGGGTTGACCCTAGCACGTGACAAATCGACAGAAGACACCGCTCTTGTACGTCGACGGTTATCTCCCTTTGGTTCCGGGATGCGCACTGGTTTGGTGGATCCGATCCGAACTGGGTACATTACATAACAGGAAATGACGTTTTACGCCACCTTTAAACATATCCCACCGATAACACAGCGGAGGACACCCGAAATGGGCTTCACACGTTGGCCCAAGAATCGAACCTTAGTGATAGTCCGTTTGGCTCAAAAGCGGACCGATGAATTGCAACCTAACTCGAAAAATAATAAACATATAATACTCAATGAAACGCTGATCATAATCAAAACATCAGACCAACTATGTGATTTATTTGCAGAATTTATGTCCTAAAGATAAAAAAGTTGTTTAACAAACTATCATTAATATTTTGACACAGTTCACTATTTGTTACGAGAGCGGAAGGTCGCGGGTTCGATCCCCGACCGCGTCATACCAAAAGACGTTAAAATATGGTACTTGTTGGTCCCTGTCTGGCGCTCGGCATTAATGGGTACAACAAGGACTGGTCGGCTCGGAGTCAGTATAATGTGTCTGAGTGGGGTATTCATGCTTCACTGCGGCATGGTATCTCAGTGGGCTAGCACTATAAAACCAGCTTCAGTCTGGGCTAGTACAAGCAGCCGCACATACACATACACACGCATGCACGTCGTCATATGAGTGAAATATTCTCAAGCACGACGTAACACCCAATTTCACCTCACCTCACTATTTGTTACGAAGGAGTGCAAAGACAGGGACAGCCAGGTGTGCGAGAGAGGATGGAGACAGCACAGCACAGGTTAATGAATCAATAACTTTGTCGGCACTTGTGCACGTCCTTCTCGAAACACCTGGCTGTCCCTTTCTCTTCACTCCTCCCTCGTAAAACACTGTGAACTGTGAAAAATTTTAATGATAGTTTGTTAAATAAGTTTTTTATTTTTATGACATAAATTCTGCAAATAAATCACAGAGTTGGTCTGAAGTTTTGATTATGATCCGCGTTTCACTGAGTATTATATGTTTATTGTTTTTCGAGTTAGGTTGCAATTCATCGGTCCGCTTTTCAGCCAAATGGACCATAATCCGCAATATTCATATTCACCTTAACATCTTACCATCATGTATACCATTTCACACCACTGCCTTTTTCACCTCAACATTACAGTTTATCATATTCTACTCCTCACCCGTGTTAGTGCTCTTATCTATATATTTGTTTACCATCTCAGTGCTTAATGAAATGTGGTATCTTGCGATTCCTTATTTTGTTCAGTCACGTGTGTTTTACGATGTTACCGAAATTATCTTCGGGTTTAAGTATTATATTATGTGATCTTGTCTTATCTTAACCACTGGTTTCGGTGCGACTGGCAAAATCTTAAACCACTGAGCTACCATGCCACTCCTGATTACATTCAAACGAGTGAGTGAGTGAGTGAGTGAGTGAGTGAGTGAGTGAGTGAGTGAGTGAGTGAGAAAGTGAGTGGGTGGGTGGGTGGGTGGTTTGAGTGAGTGAGTGAGTGAGTGAGTGAGTGTGTCGAGCGTACAGTTGAAGTGTTAGGCTGCCCCACCGCCTCTCACGAAACACAGTTCATACACTTTCCGTGACTCAATCCGCGGAGTAGCCTCGTGGTTACAGCGTTCGATAGTATCACCGAAGTCTTGGAGTTTATTATCGAAATGGGAAAATATTGTGAAATTTGTATATTTTTTGTTTTATTGTTATTTACCACCGCAATCAGCAATATTCCATCTATATAACAACGGTATGTGGACCAGGCAATCCAGTGGTTGATGTCATGAGTGAGTGAGTGAGTGAGTGAGTGAGTGAGTGAGTGAGTGAGTGAGTGTGTCGAGCGTACAGTTGAAGTGTTAGGCTGCCCCGCCGCCTCTCACGATACACAGTTCATACACTTTCCGTGACTGAATCCGCGGAGTAGCCTCGTGGTTACAGCGTTCGATAGTATCACCGAAGTCTTGGAGTTTATTATCGAAATGGGAAAATATTGTGAAATTTGTATATTTTTTGTTTTATTGTTATTTACCACCGCAATCAGCAATATTCCATCTATATAACAACGGTATGTGGACCAGGCAATCCAGTGGTTGATGTCATGAGTGAGTGAGTGAGTGAGTGAGTGAGTGAGTGAGTGAGTGGTTTTAAACGCCGCCATCGACACTATGACACATCTATAAAACAGGCTGGAATGTATATATAATAGCACGACTGTGTACATTACAAGTTTCATGATTATTCAGGAAATTCTAAACCTGTGAACCCGGGTAAGTTGTGGTCATCAGCAACTCATGCTTTGTCGCAAGAGGCGACTAACGGGATCGGATTGTAGCCCGCCGCCATACAGTAGTAGAAGGACCATTGCTGAGTGCGGCGTTAAACAACACACAAACAAACGCTTACCCACTGTCTCTGTGGGGGCGCGCTGTTTTCTCCTCTACCAGTCAATGTACTGGGTCATGCATCTAGAACTAGCACCAGATTCACGTTATACATTCAGTTATCTGTCGCCAGCGTTACAAAACTCATTCTACAGCTTGAAACATCATAACGATGATGTCATTCGTACATTATCGACCTTACACGAAATTCCCCGAACTAAGTCACGTGGCTGGAGGCTATATTTAGATACAACTCATAGACGGGGATTTCCCTAAGCGGACATTTTCACAAGACACGGCTGATTCGAGGCGATCTTACCTACAAGGCAAGTTTTCTTACATGACCGAACATTTCATAAGGTTACATTATTGTGTATATTATTTGTAGTTCATCCTAAAATCATTTTATGGCTTGTGATAGCTGGAGGTAGATGTCAAAACGAAAGCACAAGGAACTGCGTAGATATGGTGTGGGGTGTGCTGGTATATTCACACACACACACACACACACACACACACACACACACACACACACACACACACACACACACACACACACACACACACACACACACACACACACACACACACACACACACACACACACACACACACACACACACACACACACACACACACACACACACACACACACCGAAACTGATGACGTCAGATTATATATCATACTTGCTTGAGTTTAGACGTACACCATTGTATTATTCTTAAATGCTGATTCGAATGTCGATGTCATGCAGGTTTACCTGTTTTTTATATATATTTTTTTATTTGATTACTGAGCTAAATACTCTCTAAGAAACAGTCCTTCTGGCCTTGCAACAATAGAAAATGTTTCGAAAACTTATTCTTCAATAGTGTACAATCACTATAGTTTGGGTGAGCGAATGTTGTATAACGTCACATGCAGTGGGAAGTATTTCCACACAGTACCTCGCAGTCACTACTGTCCCATGATAACATCTATCCATATGTGTCTTGACACCTTACCCCTGTGAATACGATTGTGAGACCCAACCTACAGCACCTAATGGTTGTTGAAAGAGCTTGGGTGGTCCGGTTCGGATGTATCCCGATAGCGATCTGTGCTTATGATGTCAATCACTGGATTGTCTGGTTTAAGTATGTATATGTTGTCATATAGTTTGATTGTTGCTGAGTGCAAACAAACAAAAACAACAACAAAAACAACAACAACAAAAACAACAACAAACAAACAAACAAAATAAAACCAAAAAACAACAAACTTGACACGTCTTTTATATTAAGCATTGACTCCAGCAGCACGCTATAAGAAAATATGAATACTTACTTCTTGTTTCCTATCGCGGGCTGACCCCAAAATGTTTTTGAATCTCTTACGGCCATGCATTATGAGCGGTTATGTAAACGCTGTTCTGGTACAGTTGGTTTCGTTTTAGTATTGAGCATGTTAATTTCAGTTTCGATGTTTTACATACTTATAACTGACAAACAATGCTGTTCACATTTATCTTTCATAAGCTTCACATATACAGACGCCTTACTTTCCTTTATCATAGTTGTTTGTACCAAAACGGGATCGGGTGGTCAGGTTCGCTGACTTGGTTGACACATGCCATCGTACCTCTGTTGCGCAGATCGCAGATTGTAACCCAAGCATGTCGCAAGAGGCGACTAACGGGATCGGGTGGTCAGGCTCGCTGACATGGTTGACACATGTCATCGTACCTCTGTTGCGCAGATCGATGCTCATGCTGTTGATCACTGGATTGTCTGGTCCAGACTCGATTATTTACAGACCGCCGCCATATAGCTGGAATATTGCTGAGTGCGGCGTTAAACAACAAACCAAAAAAAAACCTAGTATGCACATTATTTTAACTAGAACACAGACTTACTGGTGTGTCACATTCAGCAGTAATCCAACTATATGACGTCAGCTTGTCCGGACCAGACCAGACACTTGAGTAATTGACATCGACAGCATTGATAATGTAGCTGTGATACGATGATACGCATCAAACAGGTGTGTCCATGGTCGTTTCAGAAACGTGGTGGAGCGGTGGGATAGCCTAGTGGTTAGAGCGTTCGCTCGTCACGCCGAAGACACCGGGTTCGATTCCCCACGTGGGCACAATGTGTGAATACCATTTCAGGTGTCTCCCGATGTGATATTGCTGGACTATTGCAAAAAGCGGCGTAAAACCTAACTCACTCACTCACTCGGTAACACGGTACATGCCTGCGATGTGACACACGGACGCTGCTGATAATCAATGCGTGAAGAGGATCTCTAACCCGGATCTTTACCAACGAGTTTCACATGATAATCAATTAATTTCAATTACTTTATTTCAGAGGTATAACAGATTGTGAAGAGGATGATTTTTGACCAAAACGCCTTCATCATGAATATCCCGAGGAACCGCATCGTGCGGAACAACATCCACAACGGCGTTGACAGAGATGACGTCATCAGTGACGTCATCGAAAAAGATGACGACTCCGACGTAGAAATGGAAGACCTCGATATCAAACGTGAGACAGATTCCTTCGGCGACTCAGAAGTTGGAGGTAAGAACCATGTACAGTGTTACCCCCTTAGACGGACACTGCAGATACTGGACACTTTTGTGAATCTAGACTAGACAGCCAGGTGTTAGAGAAGCACGTGCACAAGTGCCGACAAAGTTAATGATTCATTAACCTGTGCTGTGCCGTCTCCATCCTTTCTCGCACACCTGGCTGTCCCTTTCTCTGCACTCCTCCCTCGTAAAAAATAGTGAACTGTGTCAATATTTTAGTGATAGTTTGTTAAACAACTTTTTTAATTTTAAGACATAAATTCTGCAAACAAATCACAGAGTTAGTCTGATATTTTGATTATGATCCGCGTTTCATTGAGTATTATATGTTTATTAGTTTTCGAGTTAGATTGCAATTCATCGGTCCGCTTTTGAGCCAAATGCACTATAGAGCGGGAGTAATAAACTTGGACGCTACCTTGAATCCTTTCCGGCTTCCTACATATCTAGATGTTATCACTTTGAAACCCATTAGTCTGTCCCCTTAATCCAAACCGGATGGGTACAACTGGTCATCATCAAAGGCCCATTACCTAGCACCCTCGTTTACGGACAATTCACCACTGAATGGTTTAGCTCGGATTAAGGGGTTTCCTTAATGTTTACGCGCTGAAATTACTTAGCACCCTCCTTAATCCAGAAACAACCTTAATCCGGACAACTATCTTTGATTGTATAGCTCGGAATAAGGGGGTGTCGTTAATGTTCACGCAGTGATGTTACTCAGCCCCCTCGTTAATCCAGAAAAAGTCTTAATCCGGACAACCACCTTCACAATCACCTTTTATAAGTATAGCTCGTTAATGTTCACGCACTGAGATATATTTCACCGCTGACTTTGATCTGTTGCAGATGCTGTGGAGCCAGTGCGGTAGTGGCACGAAATTCGCGAGCTTTGTGCACGTGTGCTGAAATCAACAACAGCGGATCAGACATTGCTGTCATCAGCTGATCCCTGGAAGGGACACTGACAATTTTCTTTTACCTTGTGCCATTAGAGTGTTTGTAAATAATCACACACAGACGTCAACTCGAAACAGAATATGAATAAAGATATAATCATGAGATTAACACATTCGTACAATGTCACCAACGTAGATCTATGCTCATGATGTCAATCACTGGATTGTCTGATTCAGACTCGATGATTTTTATGCCGCCCTACTTTAGCAGTAAAATTGGTGTTCGCGATGTTAGACAAACAAACAAAAAGGTAACATTATTTTTGGCCGAATTATGGATTCGCAGTATGTTTTACGCTCATACATGGCCCCAAAGGGTTATCTCCCATTTGAGCATTTGACAGCGCGCAGGTATGCACGAACTAGAAGGTTAACACATACATGGCCCCATAGTGCACCAAGACAATGGTCATTCCCTTTATTATATCATTGTCCTATAACCCATTAGAGGACAAAAACGCTCCAATGCCAATTTTGTCAGATATTTAATTTCTTTATCACTGGCCGTGTAGTTTATTTAGTTCCGAAAGCGTTTGTTCCCACATATAGACATTCACTGAACCAGGTGTCTGCGACCCCGGAGAAGCAAATATAAAAGGAGGCAACTCGAAACTGGAAGTCCAGCTTGACTGAAGTGAAAAGCCTGCCCAGGTTTACATGCCTCTCATGCGAGATTCTGTCTTGTTGATGTGACCTATCTTCATGCAGTGGTTGTCACAAGTCGAACGTTTGCTTGTTGTTTAACGCCGCATTCAGACAATCCAGTGATCAACATCATGAACATAAATCTACGCAATAAGGGCACGATGACATGTGTCAGCCAAGTCTGCGACCCCGTTTGTCGCCTCTTACGATAAGCACCAGATGCTGACCAATTCCAGCCCGGATCCTCACGGGTCGGCATGTTGTTGTATATGGGATGTGAGGGTAAAGGAAGTTTTAAACGAAACGTTAAAAATACATAATGAAAAACGAATAATGAACATTTGAGCATCAGTTTTACCCAATAAAAAACACAAATATTGCACAACATACAATTGTTGCTTTGTTGTTTATTTCCTTCAATTGTTCTTTGAATATATCAGTTTGTGATTGCAACAATCACTCTAGATCGCCTCCGTGCGTGGTGTAGTGGTTAGAGCGTCCGCCCGGAGAGCGGATGGTCGCGGGTTCGATCCCCGACTGCGTCATACCAAAAGACGTTAAAATATGGTACTTGTTGGTCCCTGTCTGGCGCTCGGCATTAATGGGTACAACAAGGACTGGTCGGCTCGGAGTCAGTATAATGTGTCTGAGTGGGGTATTCATGTTTCACTGCGGCATGGTATCTCAGTGGGCTAGCACTATAAAACCAGCTTCAGTCTGGGCTAGTACAAGCAGCCGCACATACACATACACACACATGCACGTCGTCATATGAGCGAAATATTCTCCAGCACGACGTAAAACCCAATTTCACCTCACCTCACCTCACCTCTACAGAGTTATGTCCCTTGGGCACACCAGGAACCTATAATAACTATTATGCTTTACAGTTTCCAGCTCCATGCCCATCCTCGAAGGTTTCACTAAAACAGCGGGATCAGGTGGTCAGGCTCGCTGACTTGATTGACACATGTCATCGTATCCCAATTGCGTAAAACGATGCTCATGATGTTGATCACTGGATTGTCTGGTCCACACTCGATTATTTATAGATGGCTGCAATATAGCTGGAATATTGCTGAGTGCGGCGTTAAACGACAAACCAACCACTAAAATGGTGCATCACTTCGGGATTTCCTTCCATATAACACGGGACACAAGTTCGTTAACAGGAATATTGTAAAAAGCTGCGTTCACCAAACTCACTATTTCACTGAAATGAGACGAAAGGCCGCTAAAACATTATCCATGCGCAAGGTTTCAAATTCTTTCAAATCCAGAATCATTATCAGGACAAAATCAGGCCTGAAAACCCATGTTCATCGGAATTACGTCACATTGACCCACATACAATAACCCATAAATAACGAAACACAATAAGGGGCTAAATGTATGACTGTAAAATATATCCCATTTTCATGTAATTATTTATATCAAATATTTGGGCGGTGGGGTAGCCTAGTGGTTAAAGCTTTCGTTCGTCACGCCAAAGACCCGGCTTCGATACCCAAATGAGTACAACGTGTGAAGCGAATTTCCGGTGTCCCCCGTTGTGATATTGCTGGAATATTGCTAAATCGCCGTAAAACTGACTAACTCTCTCCCTATATTATTTAAGGTCAAGCATCTCAATTCATCAAAATAAATGATAAAAACAGAAACCAGACACGTATAACTTGGTGTCAGGCAGAATAGCAGAGACGAGCGGTCCTTATTCAAAGTCAGTACAATTTCCCCGCTATCTACGCATCTTTGATAAGGAGATTACGACATAAACAATATCGGTGTCAGAGCTGTCTCCGTTCACCTTTGATCTCCCCGCCAAGGTAAAAACACCAATAATAGACTCACGAGGCAAATTTGACAGGGCAAGTTTAATGTTTAATTAAGATGTTTGACTTATTGAAAGTATAATCTTCTAATCAAACAAAGTTTGACCTGGGATCGACAGTTTTCACATTTTCCATGATGTAGGGGGTCGGCAAACGAACAAGCAATGATGTAAGCGATAAAGCAGTATGTAAATTATGGAGCGTAAATAAAACGGAATTTGATCGTGTAGAACATTGTAAATATTAACATAGCTAGCAGGTAATCGACTTTCGTTTTAAATCAGCTGGAACTACGCGGTAGTGACACTATTGTAGTGATGAAAGCATTTCGTTATGTTTAGACTGAAGAGTGTGTCATGCCGGACTCTAATTATATGTGAGGTCGTATTGGTCCAGATCAGCTTAGTACTGCCGCTGTAAATGTGGTCAAAGTGTACCTAGATGACATGATAGTGTGGACATGACATGACAGACCGTGACCCGACAGGGTATGCTAGTTCAGAAAGAATATGACAGTTCAGGAAATTCGATAGGATGGAGAGGACATGACATGCAAGATATGGACAGGACATGGGAGGACGTGTGTTCAGTACAAGAGAGGGTGGGACAGGGGAGGACATGTTGGTTCAGGACATATTGGTTCAGGATAGGAGAGGACATGTTGGTTCAGGACATATTGGTTCAGGATAGGAGAGGGCATGTTGGTTCAGGACAGGAGGGGACATGTTGGTTCAGGACAGGAGGGGACATGTTGGTTTAGGATAGGAGAGGACATGTTGGTTCAGGACATGTTGGTTCAGGATAGGAGAGGACATGTTGTGTCAGGACAGGAGAGGACATGTTGGTTCAGGACATGTTGGTTCAGGACAGGAGAGGACATGTTGGTTCAGGACATATTGGCTCAGGATAGGAGAGGACATGTTGGTTCAGGACAGGAGAGGACATGTTGGTTCAGGACAGGAGAGGACATGTTGTGTTAGGACAGGAGAGGACATGTTGGTTCAGGACGGGAGAGGACATGTTGGTTCAGGACAGGAGAGGACATGTTGGTTCAGGACAGGAGAGGACATATTGGCTCAGGATAGGAGAGGACATGTTGGTTCAGGACAGGAGAGGACATGTTGTGTCAGGACAGGAGAGGACATGTTGGTTCAGGACAGGAGAGGACATGTTGGTTCAGGACAGGAGAGGACATTTTGTGTCCGGACAGGAGATGACATATTGGCTCAGGACAGGAGAGGACATGTTGGTTCAGGACAGGAGAGGACATGTTGTGTCAGGACAGGAGATGACATGTTGGTTCAGGACAGGAGAGGACATGTTGGTTCAGGACAGGAGAGGACATGTTGGTTCAGGACAGGAGAGGAGAGGACATGTTGGTTCAGGACAGGAGAGGACATGTTGGTTCAGGACAGGAGAGGACATATTGGCTCAGGATAGGAGAGGACATGTTGGTTCAGGACAGGAGAGGACATGTTGTGTTAGGACAGGAGAGGACATATTGGCTCAGGATAGGAGAGGACATGTTGGTTCAGGACAGGAGAGGACATGGTGGTTAAGGACAGGAGAGGACATGTTGTGTCAGGACAGGAGAGGACATGTTGGTTCAGGACGGGAGAGGACATGTTGGTTCAGGACAGGAGAGGACATGTTGGTTCAGGACAGGAGAGGACATATTGGCTCAGGATAGGATAGGACATGTTGGTTCAGGACAGGAGAGGACATGTTGTGTCAGGACAGGAGAGGACATGTTGGCTCAGGACAGGAGAGGACATGTTGGTTCAGGACAGGAGAGGACATTTTGTGTCAGGACAGGAGATGACATATTGGCTCAGGACAGGAGAGGACATGTTGGTTCAGGACAGGAGAGGACATGTTGTGTCAGGACAGGAGAGGACATGTTTGTTCAGGACAGGAGAGGACATGTTGGTTCAGGACAGGAGAGGACATGTTGGTTCAGGACAGGAGAGGACATATTGGTTCAGGACAGGAGAGGACATGTTGGTTCAGGACATGTTGGTTCAGGACAGGAGAGGACATGTTGGTTCAGGACATATTGGTTCAGGACAGGAGAGGAGATATTGGTTCAGGACAGGAGAGGACATGTTGGTTCAGGACAGGAGAGGACATGTTGGTTCAGGACATATTGGTTCAGGACAGGAGAGGAGATATTGGTTCAGGACAGGAGAGGACATGTTGGTTCAGAACAGGAGAGGACATGTTGGTTCAGGACAGGAGAGGACATATTGGTTCAGGACACGTTGGTTCAGGACAGGAGAGGACATGTTGGTTGAGAACAGGACAGGACATGTTGGTTGAGAACAGGAGAGGACGTTTTGGTTAAGAACTTGTTGGTTCAGGATGGGAGAGGACATGCTAGCTCAGAACCGAACGATACGTATCACTTTGGTACAGGCCAAGGCGTGCGAGTTCAGGAAAGCACGGGACATGCTAGTTTAAAGATGTCATAGTTCAAGACACGCGATATTGAGCGCTTGCATGTGATGTTCTACACAGGTCTGCCCTGTCCTCTACTAGCTTGCCCTGTCCTCTACTAGCTTGCCCTGCTATCTACTATCTTGCCCTGTTATCTACTAGCTTGCCCTGTCCTCTAATACCATTCCCT